TCCATATATGCACGCCAAGTCTTATTCCCAAGCTTGGGAGTTAGTAAATATATGCACACCCTCTATATTCTGCATTGTATGGTGTTGTTCACTTCCACAGACATAAATGGTGATCGAAAAAATGTTCAAGTTGCATTTGTGTTCACGGCGCTATTATCCACAAATGGATAACTAAACAAACAGTATACTTCTACAATGGTGGTCAACGAGCTTCGAGAACGCAATTATTCAAAACTCATTTGCTTTAACAGTTCACAAAACACAAGGCCTCACATTACCATGCGTCTCCTTAGCTCTTGACCAAACTATATTCTCAGCAGGACAAGCTTATGTTGCCTTAAGTAGATGTCCTAAATGGGAACACATTCAAAATGATGAGCCTACACAAAGATGCTTTCAAAACGATCCTGAAGTAACTAAAGAATACCAACGATTACAACAAATTTGTCAGCTTTCCATCCACTCACGTATTAAGAGCGAACGACAGATATTAACAACAATAATAATAGTAATAATAGTAAAATTAGAACTAAATTAATAATACAACACAATATACACTACTACTACTACTGTATTTAAATACAATTAGGTAAACCGTTATCATAATAAAAATATAAAATGTATACTAATACTGTTGATTTATTGTGTCAACGAAGCCGGGCAGGCACAATTTAAACTTCTAGTTATATCACAGAATAAGAAGGTCACGGAACTTTTCAGCATATGGTGTAATCGTGTAACCTGCTGACCTGAAAAATCGATTGCGTATCACAGATGTTTGATCACCCGAAATGTCAGACACTCAATTAAAAATCGATGAGGCTTGATTCGCTCATTATGGGTATATCATGTATCATTGATTTTTTCTTGGCATTTTCCGGGACCGCCGGTCTCGCAAAATTTTTTTTATTTGTGATGTATTAGAATTTAATAACTTAATGTTGAATCAAATATTATCAATGGTGCTGTTTACATATTTTATCAAGGACTATTATTCGACTGAAATTCACCATTAATTACAATTACGCTTTACATTCAATACATTATAATAAACAAAAATTATTATTATGGGACACAACCGTCAAGGGGCGCAACATTTTCCGCCTTTACAGCCTCAAGTTCACTTGGATTAATACCGAGTACTTCGAGGATTGTAGGAGCAATTTGCGCAGTTGTTACATGCTTACTGATGACTTGGGCCTTAAGGTAGGGGTTTGAAACTATGATCGGAACGTGAACATCGTCTTCGTTGAAACCGCCATGTTCGGCAATCTTGGACCCAGTTGTGTAAATGACACCCGGTTTGGTTTGAATAATAATGTCAGGAGTTCTACTATTTTTTGTGGGATCACCGAATTCATTTGCGAGTTCAGCACCAGAGAAGATTTTAAGGACACCTAGCGCATCTGAATTCTTTTGGATGTTGGCAACGGCTGTGTCAACATTCGATTGGTCCTTCAACCAAATTAATGCAACGTCATCAGCTGTGAGTCCGCCAATAGGAACGCCGATAGCAGAAGTCAAATTGGCCGATGGTATTTTATTCAAGAGGGCCTTGTTGATTGGAGATTGGCCGTGTTTCGCGGAAATGATGAAGAGAGTCTTTTCTGTGAGGTTTTGTTGTTCAAGAGTATCTGCAATCTGGCCCACGGTGTAGTTCAAACAAAAGTCTAGGCCTTTTTTCAATTCATCGGATGGTTGTTGGCCCACAGCATCCAGATATCCACCGGCCGAATCTTTCTGTGAGACACTAATAACTTGGAAATTTCCACCAAGAATGCCAGGAACGGGAATGCTTTTTCCAGCGCTACTCACACCTTTTAACCAATTGAGAATAGCGTTAAGATGAAGTGTGTCATAAACTTGTATGTCGGGTTCTACGGTATTGATTCCGTTAATTTCCGGAGTGTACAAGTCGTCGACACCTTTTCCAGAAGGGCCATTAATTATGTCATAGGCTGGATGTTTGTCTGTCCAAGCGGTAAAGAAACCGTGCTTTTTGGCAACTTCGAAAATTGTGTTGACTTTAAGGAATTCATGTGGGGTGACTCCTACACATTGTCCATTCTTGAGTGTTTTCGGAAGGTTAGCCGGATTTATCGAGGTGACGGGAGCGGTGGAATTAAAATCAATGGTCTCGTCGTAAGCAGTTACGGCACCTGGTGTGCCTGTGCAATTGGAGCCAGGATCAAAGAAGGTTCTATCGTAGGAGACGTCATAGAAAACTAGAAATACACAGAAATTTGTGTATTAATATCTAATGATGCTAGTCGTAATCGTAATAATAAGGGGCAATAACATACTGCCAGTAGTTTTCGGAGAACCGCCTGTCACCTGTGATTAGTAAGTATAGATTTATCAAGCATTGATTAATATAATAACTTAAGAAATAAGATATTATGCAGATAAATACCGACCTGTGCTATTAAACCGGGGAATGAATCACTTGGTTTCGAAGTTTGGGCATTGTCAAATTCCACTGATGTTTTGAGAAGGGTGGCAATAGCAGAACTTGGGTTGGCTTTAACGTATGCGTCGACATCCGATTGATGCAAACCGTCAAAAGAAAGGAGAACAATATGTTCGATTTTCTTTTGACCCAAACTATTCGGGAGTGAGAGGACAGATGTTGCAAGGCAAGTAATCACGATGGCCTTTTGAAGGAAATGCATCTTGGATATATTGACCTTTGCTTTTGAGATTTCAAGCTGGGTGAGGTTTTCGTTCCTCTCGGAGTCGGCATTATATGGATATTTTGGTGGAACCAGTTAATTTAGCGGGACCGAGCTATGATTTCGGCAAAAACAATAATGTATGCATTCAATTTTTGTCGCCGTGGAGAATAAGCCAATCCTCGGAACACGTTTTACGCAAATAACCATATTTGGTATGAGTTTACAAGATGGTCAAGTCTTGGCGCAAAAAAAAAAACGTTGTTGCATTGTTATCATATTTGCAATGGAAAAGCAAACTCGGCTTCATGCGAGGTTGTCAGTTTTTCTTTTGTTGTTGATGTGCAACGATTAACACTACATATCAAATAACGTTTTTCCGTTCATTATAAGGATTCTTGCATGTGTAACCTTCTCACAAACAGGTCGTGTAACCTTTTTTTTAAAAATTATAGTCAATAATTCCGACACTTTTACGTGCTAGTCAAATTAGTCCATCTGTGTTAGTTATAATTGACCATGGCCTTCCATATGCATAATATGTTGTACGACCATAAAGTGTCGGAAAAAGGTGTCGGAATTATTATTATAGTCAAGAAATCATACGCAGTTATCCTAAACTTTTAACGTATATTCCCATATATAGTGTGATTATCATAATTATGACCAACGAAAATTCCGGACGCCGTATTATTGTTATAATGACTTGTACTAGACTTCAAAAAAAGGAAAAGAAAAACTCAGCGAACATACTAATACAAGATA